CCAGGACCCTGACAAATAGCATTTTCTACCATAAAAATCAGACATGGTAAAAAAAATTCCAAAGAAAATCAGAGCGAGACGAAGTCAGTTTGAAATTCAGGCTTTCAAGTGCCTCCGGTGCGAGCTTGCTTCTTTCTTGTACAAAACATATTTTGATTTGGATCCTGCAGACCTTCTGCTTCCTAACTTCCATTCTTCATTCTTGGATTTTATCAGGACAGTGATTTCTGGAAAAGACAACTACTTTACCTGCTCTCCAGACTTGCAGAATCTGACCCAGATGACAACTATAACTGTCATGAGCACACACGGAAAATGAACATAAATACATCTAACTGTGTAATAAGTATAAATATCCTGTCATTTTGGTTAATCTCAGGACTGAGCACTGAACATCTGGATACACTCTATCTCAGGAGCTGGGAAACTCTTCTCAAAATGTTGCTGTGGCACATCCCCGCCAGCCCTGCTGTTCAGGCGTTTGACATTGCTGCAGCAAAGATTGCTGATCCTGCACTCGTCTGCTCAGCGCTACTGTAGTCTGAAATTGAAGAACTTACATAATGCCTCGACCAAGTCAGCCTTTAACTTGGCATCGTTGCAGTGAAAGATTAGCGAGGTAACCTATTGCATCATCTGCCACTTGTCATTACCTCGGGTCGACATGCTGTCAGCTCCTGAACTTCCCCATTCAGGACTTTAAACTAGCCTTAGGTTTTCTAGAATACCAGATAATTCAGAAAATTACACGCTTTTCTGATACATGTTAGGACCAAAGTCCACTGTTTTTAAAACAATTTCTTTCATCATAATTTTTTTCAAAAATCACACAACTTGAGATATCAGAAATATGGAGAGCATCTTGCCAAAGGGAATTAAGCTCTTCAGAAAGCAGGAAGATCATGACAGAAATTACCTACTCCTGAACTATCACCCGGCTCTTCCTTAGAAGGGACAAATAAGCTAGTAAAGCATTTAATCCATGCTTTGCTCTCTGCGGCTCATTTATCGTTTCTTCAAACGAATGCTCTTCTGTAGCCATTTCAGTGAAACGCAGCATTTCTTGGATTCGCTGATACCTGTGACTTTCAGAGTAATTCAACGGAAGGGACGGCATGATAAGAAAAGCTGTCAGTCTAATGGCTGCCCGCAAACACTAAACAAGAGGTGTCAGCACAGGTACTGGGTGTTGGGACATCAGCATAGAACTGACCTAACCTGAGAGGACAAGGTTTCAACTCAGCTGACTCTCAATTCCTCATGTCGGGTGCTTACAGATCCACAGATACAAAAGCTGACATCGTTTAAGGTTCCCATTTTGAAAGTCTATGTATCTCTCTGTATCCTCTCCTTCTTTAAAAAATCCATGGTTAAGGCTTCTTTCTTTAAACAATATCAGTAAAATAACTTCCATTATCAAAGCTACCATAACAAATCAGCATGTATAGAAAGGTGTAAAGTATTTTGTTTGTAATAATCTTGTAGATAGATCTAATGTCTTTGAAAGTATTTCAGTATGTCAGAGGCTGCTTGGTGAAAAAGCACGAATCTTGAACACTACTGAAATCCCGCTGCAGTGTTATGATGTGCCTAAGCCCCGTGGAATGCCACATTTTTAATTACATTTTTCATGTGGCATTACACAGAACATAGAAAATTAGATGACCAACTTGAGAAAGAAGCTAGCTTGGGAACTCTTCAGTGTTCGAATGGGGAAGTCTAAGAGAAATTGAGTTTAATAACTGTGTTACGGTAGTAAACAAAGGTAGTGTTGCTACAGGCTGTGTGAATCACAGGAACCACAGGACAGCTCCTGTGAATAAACGGCAAAGATGCCAACTGAGAGGCTAAAGCAGACCTGTAACATGCAGCTCATAAATCAGTTGTATGCAGTATTATCTTCCCAGAAACTTTTACTGAGTACTCTACCAGAAACAGCACCTGGAACATCAGTTTTCTGTGTCAAGAAAGTGCCATAAAGATATGTTCAAGGTGACTTCAGCTGATACAGGGTCATACTGGAAAACAAAACATGTTCATGTCTAGTGATGCAAGAACCCTATTATCAATTTTTCTTCAGGAGGATCTCACCCACCAAATATTTTGCTAGACGTCTAGTCTGCCTGTGAGTTGTAAAGCCGCTGAAAATCAGACTTTGATCTCATTCGCGACCGGTATATGGGACCAAAGCAATGCTTCTCAATCACTCCTGAGTCTCCTGACCACTTAGTGGGCTGATGAGGCATTTAATAGATCAGCTGTTATATTTTGTGAGGCCTTTGATAAACACATGGGTACCTTGACTTTCATTGCTTTTCTGAACGTGGTATCGAACGGGCAGATTGCCAAAGATAGTACCTGGGGTGTTTTATGAAACGAGGTGAACCATAAAAAGGGTCTAAGCTGTTGGACTGAGAATACAAGGACTGGGTTTGCACATGCCGATCCTGCAGAAATACTGCTGGTTGGAATCCAGCCCGGATTTTGAAACGTCTGGTACATCTCCTGTGGCAGGTCTTCCCAGTTGACACTATTGGTAATAAGAGCAAGGAGTGAGTTTGGTCCAGCGACAGCAATCTGGAGCCCGCTGGGCAGCAGATAAGGGGAACAGCCACAGCAAACCTCCACGTTTGCATCCCCTGTGCGTCAGCCATCCCACACGACATGGGAGTGTCTTTGTGGGTGTGGGTGACCAAGGGGACATCTGCCAGAAGACATTGCTGCAGACCTCTCAACATAAATACAACCTGTGCTGCTGTTAGGAGGTGGGACTTACATGTTCCAGAGCGACAACAGAAATTAGTGGTCACGTTTCTTCTGAAGGAGCAGGGAGCAGCGGAAGGCCTCTGAGCTCTCTGTCTGCTTGCTCCTTGTCTTGGGCTGTCCCTGACTCTCTCTAAATGGTCCTACTTGATCTCAGTAAGGAAAAAGTCCACAGGTGGAAACCAGGGGATTCTGTCCTCAGCTCAGGACCCTGTCTGTAGACAGCACGTAGCTCACTACAGATGTTCTAGTAAAGAATAATGCGGGGGGAGGAGGAGGCAAGGAGGTAGGGAGGAAATAAGACTTACTTTAATTTTCCAGTCATTTATTACACAATAAATCATATTGGTTCTCTTCATGAAAAACACTTGGTTACTGACATTTCAATAAATATATTTTATCTTTCATTCTATGTATTTAATGGTTCAATGTATTCTTCAGACTTTGCAAACCCAACCGTACGAGGGTTGTTGTTTTTTTTTTAAATACGGCTCTGAAAGCCTAGTTAAATTGACATTTCTGACATTTCCCTAACTGTGACGTCCTGGTGTTCCCCCATGTACTTCTCTCCTTATCAGGTTAAACGAAGTAGATTTCCAAAGTACTTTTGTGGTTCTTGCACCACTGATACTGCCTGTGCAGAGAGAAGGTACAAAACAAGCTTTTTGTCCGGAGATGAGCACTGCGTGAGCCAAGAGCTTTCCCCTCCCACAGCTGAAGCGCAGCACATGCCTTCTCGCCGTCCTGTGGATCAGCACGTACTTGCCGTTGGTGGGGGTGGCATTTCAGGCCCAGTGCCCTCGCTGCCATGTTACGTTCTGGAATAGCAATGAAGTGAGCACGTTTGGGTCAGTACTGGGCCCAGTCTTGTTCAACTTCTTCATCAACGACCTGGATGAAGAGTTAGAGTGCACCCTCAGCAAGTTTGCTGATGACGCAAAACTGGGAGGTGTGGTGGGTACACCGGCAGGCTGTGCTGCCATTCAGCAAGACCTGGACAGGCTGGAGAGTTGGACAGAGAGGAACCTGATGAGGTTCAGCAAGGGCAAGTGCAGGGTCCTCCACCTGGGGAGGAACAACCCCAGGCACCAGTACAGGCTGGGGCGGACCTGCTGGGGAGCAGCTCTGCGGAGAGGGACCTGGGTGTGCTGGTGGATGACAGGGTGACCATGAGCCAGCAGTGTGCCCTGGCTGCCAAAAAGGCCAGTGGTATCCTGGGATGCATTAGGAGGAGTGTGGCCAGCAGGTCGAGGGAGGTGCCCCTACCCC